TACTACACGCGAGAAAGGCTCGATAGGGTCGCGTAGTTCGTGCGCCTCATTGGACGAGAAAAGCACGCAGAAAGACGGCGTGGAGCTGAGCCTGCAGCTTGGCCGAAGCTCGATACACTGTCTTCTGTGCACAGAGCGTCGTGCCCTAGCAACACGTGACGCGCTTGGGCGCCGAAACTCCGTGTCCACTCTGCGTATTTCGGGTGACGCAGCACGTCGAGACCTCCGAGATGATACACCACTTCCACCTGCACTTGAGCTTCACCCGCCGACTCTCTGTATCGGTTAAAGTCTTGACTACTCACTAGTGCGTCCACATGTGCAAGGGTAGGACAGCTCACCACCACACAGGCAGCAGCAGGCACTGACGGCAACACGCAGTCACTCGACTTGACCACTTTTCCGTCGGACAATGTCACGTCCTTGCCTTGATGCAACTGTCCGAACAATTTGCCCTTGGGTACACCCAAGGCCAAGGCCTTCTCCACTAGGAATTTGCCTCGTTGCAGTCTCGTTTCCACCACATAACTCACGCTGACATGGCTCTCTTCACCTTCGGACGTGGGGCTCTCGTTCAGTTTCCGTTTAGCTCCAGATCGTGGCTTCGCTATGGCTACAGCGTGCACCACCACTTCGTCGTCTTCATAGCAGCTTTTAATCTCCTTATTCTTCTCTTCGGTAATAGTCGGCAGCACCTCAGACGCTTCTAGTTTAAACTCAGGACGGTACAAAAAGTGGCGTGTGGCTTTCAGATATTGCTTGGTATTGGGCGGTCCGTGGACATGGAGACCGGATTTCCCCGTGTCTGAGACTGTAAGCACCATCCCGGGGAGGCCTCCGACAGTGTGGGAGCGCAGTTCAGTCAGGAAAACGTGCTGCAGCTTGGCTAGACGCACGTGGTGCTCCATACACAGGCGCTGTGTGCCATCTCCGACGTTGAATAGGAAACTGCGAAGCCCACAGGAAAGGGTTAGCGAAACGGCATTGCACAGACGTAGAGAGGGATGTATACTAACGCACCGCCGCGTCTCCGTGGACAGAAGGAGGCTGGGCGCTGTCTCCACGGACTGCACGCTGAGCACCTGCACTTGCACGACCATATTGGCAAATTGCTAGATCCACTGGAGTCTGCCTATGGATACCTTGTGAAGAGTACACTAAATGATGTTTTTGTTACGTTTAGTGTATGTTGTGGATAATTGTACAAAATGATGAAATAGTGGAGAATTAGTGATGGTCTGTAGCCATGTCTATCAAACGGGTATAGTTGAAGTTGTCGTGATCTACCCGTACGCTTCTCTCCTACTTTGACGCGTCGTGACCGCGAGTTCTGGCGCTATGGGAATCCGACTAAGTGAGATCGATCGACTGGATTGACGCTGCTTCTGGAAGCTCAGCACTCGCATCGTCACCGCCTCTTGAACTGGTTGATCTCCCGATGCGTGTCTGCCAGGAGGCTGCTCCACTCCGTTGAAGGCAAAGCTGCTCCCTGCAGTCAATCACACAAGCGATACAAAGTCAGTTTGAGAAAGATTACAGTCATAGTACAGATACCAACACGTACGAGCTTGTGGCTGCGGTAGACCTCCCTTGAACGAGTCCAACTTGACGAGGTTGTTCGTGCTGCTGCTTCGTCTGATTGGAGACGGCGGCTGACCTGTCACGACGAACGTGTTGGGCTTGACGTCTTTAGTGTCGCTCCTGTTATCCTCGTCGGCAGACTGTTCAGCTACGAAGAGTTTATCGACCGAGGGAGAGCCGTGCTGCGCCAAGGGAGTTACGATGTCACTAACCCGCTTGGACTTGCTGGGGCGAAATCTTTCACGTAGAATATCCTCAGCACGCGGTCGGAACTGCTGCTGTGCTGCAGTGGCAGTAAAGTCGATAAGCATCGCTGCTACGGGACACAAGAGCAGCAACGTCCAGTAGCGTTGAAGCTTGATCATGAACATGGGTACACCAAACATGTCGTAGCTCATGAAAGTGAACTGCGGATAGACGAGCAGGAAGAAGATGAAGAGCCAAGTACTGAAGATCATGACCACGAGATGGTACTTGTTCCAGTTCAACGTTAACAGCGACACCTTGAGGTTCATCGTGCCCAGTAGAATCGTGTAGAACAGCGTCCCAATCACGTACAAGCCGTAGTTTGTATGTCGATTGCCAGCATAGCATCCGTAAAAGCAGATGAGTGCGTGGGCTACCGAGTTGAGGATCGTTCTGGAAAATACGCGCATGTTGAGGTCGCTGTTGTGTTGGCCACGACGATAAAGTTGCGGGAATCTCAGCACCACATCTTCCGAGATATCCTGGTCAAAGACGCCGATGACGATGATCGGAAGCGCTAAAAAGAAGTTCCAGCCTGCCATCACGAAGCTCTCGAACAATGGCGCTCCCGACTGGCCATTGAAGAAGTTAAATATAAAGAGACTGATCACGAGCGCGATGTTCTTGTAGAACGAGTAGCGGATGACCTTACAGATGCGCTTATAGTTGCATCGTCCATGTAGTAAAACCAGTCGCGTTAGGAATCGAAACTGAGCGATAGCGTAGTCACTCGCGTTTTCCGCTTGCACCCCTTCTTTGCCACAGATGCCCACTCCAACGTGAGCTGTTTGGATCATACTCACATCGTTGGCTCCGTCTCCGATCGCTAAGGTGATCGGCTGTTCTCCTTTCTTTTCACAGCCTTGACGTCCACCCTTCCGTACTAGTTGCACTATCTCCGCCTTCTGCGATGGGCTAACTCGACAAGCAAATAAGAGCTTTGCACACTCGAGCGATCTCCAAGAGCTTCCCAGTCAGAACCTCAACACGCTCAATGGCGTCTGTGGACATTTTAGCTCGAGCGTCACGGGACGGGAAAATGTGCACCAGAGCTTTACCGTCACACACCATCGCGAGATTGTCGGCAACTACATTCCCTCGGATAAGTCGCTGAATCTCGGGAGTCTCGTACAGTGCGTCGAGCTGCGCACTCAACGCTTCCACGCGCTCGGCATTCACGTAGAGCAACTGCATCGTGTCATTTATGAGTCGACAAGCGTGTCCAATATTGATCGCGGTTTCCTCTCGGTCTCCTGTTAGCACCCAGACTTTCATTCCAGCCTGAGCAAGGTCGAAGATAGCGGAGGGAACTCCCTCTTGTAGTTTATCCTCGATAGCCGTCACGCCTAAAAGTTGCATATTTTTCTCAATCATCTCGGCACATGCGTCCAGTTTTGCTTCGCGGTCTTCGAGTGCGGTAGATGCGGCTACGTACGCTTCGTTATAGCGTTTATATTCCTCCGCTGTAAGCACCCGACGGCCGAGAACCAGCGTCCGTAGACCTTCACGAGCGTAATTTCGTAAATGCCCTACAAGTTTCCCGTTAATAACAGCGTCATTATCGTTTTTCCCACTTACAGCGCGTTCCAGCATCATATTATCAGCCCCTTTGCAGTACAAAACATACTCTCGCGTCTCGTTGTTTATTGCCACGACCGACATTCGCTTTCGTGTTGAGTTGAACTCGTTGACGTTCACAATCGTATAGGATTTTGTTACGGTTTCCAGTGGCTGGTTAGAGTTAGAGTTGGCGGTAGGGAGAAGCGAGGGTTTTCGGGAGATCTCGACCTTCATCAGAGGAGCTGGAGACACAAAGTTATAGCCAAGACACTTGGCAGCTTTCACTAACGCTTCTTCGTCGGGTGAGGATGCACGATACACAACTTCCCTCGTCTTGGAGTCCACTTCGGGAATTACCGTGTGACAAATTGACAATAACGTCAAAAATTCGTGAATGAGTTCTCCTTGCTTCCCACCCGCATACAACGCTCGTAGCAGACCCGGGTCATCGAAGTGAATACTAGGATCAAAGTGAACCTGCGCTGCTTTGGGGTCGCCTTCGTCGATTTCCGTCACGGGAAGCACAGGCGTAGCTGAGGAGATTCTATCCCGAACGTCGTCTGTAGCGTCTATATCCAGCCGTACACCACTCGGAACATTGACAAGCGGGTTCACCTTGGCTTTAGCAGGAGAAGAGGCCGATTTCGAGCCTTTTGAGGCTTCTGAGCTGGCCAGAGCAGCCACAGCTCGACCGATCTCGGTGGTTCCGTAACCATACGATACTCCCCCAATAGAGCACTTCCGGAACTCCATAACGTTGCACGTTAGAGTACCTGTTTTGTCACTGAAGACATACTCGATTTGACCCAATTCTTCGTTAAGTTCTGAGGTTCTGGCTACGGCATAAACACCATCGTACACCATCTTCGAGTCTGCAGTGATTCGGTTCGCTTGAAGTACTTTAATGATGTCAAGAGAGACGTACAGCGAGATAGGAACAAGGTTGTTATACAGGATAAGAAAAGTGAAGAAATTCACGATAAAGTCGTCCACCTGGTCCGCTTCCTTGATAAACGGCAGGTACCATAAGCGACTTGCGTTCTCTTTACTCCAGGAAGATGCTGCTATCGCACTGGCTAAGCAAAGAGCAAACATTGTAGTGAAGATCAACAGCATACAGCGATTCGCGGTGCGATACAGTTTACTCTGCTTAGAGGGCGCGGCTCGAGAATTTTGCAGTAATTTGGTCTCGCTGCCTGTAAAAATCACGAGACCGACCACAAACGCGCAACTTCGAAGACTGCAGCCGCGAAGAAGCAAGTTTTCTGGCCCCAAGGGCACTGCTGTCTCGCCTCGATCACCTTCGCGAAGTAATATTCGTCCGGTGAAGGTGTAGAGCTGGTTGTTGGGCTGTTCGTGCTCGACCGAGCCGCGCAGTCGACGCACAGCCGAGGAGCATACCGCTTCTTGAGGGATTGGATCTGCTTGCAGCTCCCGCCAACCAACGAGTTGAGCCGTGGGTTTGACAGCTATTCGACGCTTGAGATTGGTTTCTCCGTCGAGATTGGACGTCTCGATGAAGCACCTTCCTTCCTCTTCGGAGGTAGCAAGAATCACCACGTCTGCAGGCAACTCCTCGTGGTTTTCCACACATACGAGCTGTCCAACCTGTAATTCCTGCCACGTTATCATCTCAGTCTGGCCTGTAGTATTAATAATCTACAGAGTAGAAAGAACAAGAAAGTTCGTGAAGAATTCGTAGAGTTACAGCAAGCGAGATGACTTACGCGACACGAACGACAGTTCTGCTTTTCGTCTGCTTGGTGGCGCTTGAAGTCCTCGCTTCCCTGCTTCACCATCGTTACTAGAAGGACAAATAATAACGGTCCTGCTGTCGTGAAGCGATTCGTCGGGGACCACGGCGTTGCTAGCTATACACGATACGTCAGTGGCCCATCACTAGCTGTCGTATTGTAGGACTTTTACCTGTAACACCGCGATGAGGAGGAAGTAGACGTTGGCTACAACACGAAAGAACTCGAAGATGGTCTTGGGCACGAAGCTTACTGCGGTATACTTGGACGTGACCATGACGTTGCGCGCATACTGCTTGGAAGTGATGAGCTGTTGGTTGGCGTCATTGTCGTTCAGGAAGACTACGCGGGGCTCCATCCCGGCCATTGCCGTCGAGGAGGCTCCTGCATTGCTTCCCATGGGCCGCACGTGCACGCGACGGATCTCACCCTGGCGGTGGCGAGCCAATGCTGCTGATCTAAAGCCAGTGACACCTGGCCGGGAAATGCTTCGGAAAACGGCAGCTTTCGACTGATAAAACCGACGGCGGCCGCAAGCTCCCACCGACTCACGCCACGAGATCTCTGAGAGAAGTTCTCAGCGTATCTGCAAGCCAATTAGTGTCGCATGCTCAAGGAGTTCCGTTGTCGGTCCATTGCCCTTTTAGAACGTAACGGTTCGAGGACGTTCTTCTTGTTTATTGGTTAAATACTTTTGTATCTTGGGTTTAGTATTGGTCAAGTTGAAGTGGATGTAGCCATCGTGGATCTAGGACTGTTGTGCTTGCTTGACTGTAGCAGGGAGCCTTTGAGAAGACGCAAGGTGCGACTATGGGTATTACGATCTCCCAGCCTACAGATGGAAGCGAGTGCCAGGACAGTCCGTTGGCTGTCGCGGCCGTCGCAGAGATTACTCAGTGTGAGCATGGTATCTCGAAGTCTTGGAAGCTGACGATCTGCTGACTGTTACAGTGTTTGCAGTCACTTTGGTGCAGCTTCAGGCGCTTCACGCTATCTGGTTTGCTGCTGGCTCCAAGGACGATGGAGATTTGGCGTCTCGAGAGGCTGATCTGAGCTGTGAGGAGTTCGAAGAAGCGCTCAACAGTGTCGGGTTTGCAGCAGCAGATCGAGCGATCTTTGATCGCCTATTCACCTTGTTGGATCGTACAGGCGATGATCGCATTTTCGCCATTCAATTCCTCATTGGAACCTCGGCGCTACTTCGCGGATCTCTCGACGTGAAGCTTCAAGCGGCGCTGCAGTTCGCTAGCGACGCTGACAAGTCGTCAGGCCTTGAAGAAGGTCTCTCTCCTGAAGGACTGAACTTCGCGTTAACAACGTTAGCCTCAATCGCAGGTTTCTTCGGAGATCCACCCGTGGCTGCACATGATGTGAGGCGAGTTGTAGATGACGTATGCGGCACAGATGGCTGCTACTCGTGCCAAGAACTTGTGAAGGACCTCGAAGACCACCCGTTCGTACAGCAGTACGTGTACCACAATACAGAGAGTTGACAATAAGTTATGACGATGTTGCTAGTCGAGATGCTTGCCGAGCGTGTATTGACAACGCCTTCGCATCATTTCCGACCTCGTTGCTCGCTCTTTAAGTCTCGCTCGCTTTGCAGCTAAACGATCCACAGTACCAGGTCGCAGTACGAGCCCCCGAGTGGCATTCACGATCACTGTCACGTCTTCCGACGAGTTCAGCGCTGTCTCTTGCTCCAAATCCTCGTCGTCCTCATCTCGCCAGTTGTTGTTGCCACCTCCATGGACGATATACCGATACTCGACGTCTTGGTCATGCAAAGACGCAGTGTAGCCATCTTCACATATGCATCGAGGTCTGGGCTTGTCTGTGCGGAAACGTGGTGGAGCAGTGGCGGATCGATCCCCGTGGGACTCGAGATGTTCTGCAAAGCGAGGACACAATCCTATTTCATCGTCCTCATCCAGTTCTCGTTCTCGACGAGGTCGCTTGGACGTAAGCGCCGCGAGTTTCGGTCGTGGGGAGGTTGCCACAGTGTGACCTTCAACTCCGTCCTCCAACAGCGTTAAAGGGGGTTGCATAGCTCCAAGTAGCGTCCACTGAGGCCCTCGATATGTTCTCTTGAATGGGTGCACTACTATACTAAGGTTCGGCGCAGTTCGAACGGGAGCGCTCTCCGACCTACTGAGACCTTTGCCAAGCACAAGTTCGTGATACTCGTTCGGCAGCGTTGTGAGCTCTGATACGCAGGACGGAGGCTCAGGCGAAGCCATAGACGACGCCACTCTGATATTTGGGGGTTCTACAGGGTCTAGCTCATCTGTCGCTCTGGAAACTGTCGCCTCGGGGACCGTCACAATCGTCCTCACTTGATGATTGTCAGGACGAGGAAAAGCTCTAGCGAGGTCGTCGAGTTCAGTGTCGAATTGCGAGTCCCATGGAGAGACGGTGGCGTCGTTATCTCCGTCATCTGAAGCCTTCTTCCTCACCCGTTTAGGGACTGGCTTGGTCCAACTGCGTCTCCTGGCTTCTTCGCTTAACGATGCGGTTCGTGGGTGCACGTCGGTGGTGCAAGCCAAGGGAACGTTCCTCGCTGTTATCTCCGCTTGCAGACTCCCAGTCAAATACCCCGTAGTTTTGCAACTATCGCAGAGATCGAACCCCTGGTCTACACAACCCTCGGTAGGAACAGTGCGTTGCCGACGTCCTTTGCTACTGTACACTCCACTAGAGCCACGACCGTCGTCATTGAGTGTTTGCAGTAGTCTCCTCGCAGGCGATGAACTATCTTCGAACGTGTAGAATGGCGTCGTCGGGTCCACAGGTGCCAGCTCTGTCTTCGGGGAGACTGCAATGTCGTTCGCTGGACTGTCAAAACCCAAGCCGGAAATGTAATCTCGTGTAGCTGGAGAACCGACTTGGTCATCCTTTCGAAGTTGCTGTCGCGGTTGGTCAGCACGAATATTCCATTTCCCAGGGCCTTTTTGAGTCCGTTTTGAAGCCCCAGAGGTGCTGGGTGGGGCCACATCAAGCGACGCAAGCCTCATGTTGTTGATGTTTGCTTGAGGTGCATCGAAGACGATACCGGTAGGCTTTTTGTCGGCCTTTTGCTTCGCTTTAGAGGACGACGACAGCATCGATACCCGAGCACCAGCATCAGGACTAGTTGTATCAGCACTGTCAAAAGCAGTGCCAGTCTTCATACCTCCCATCGATTTTAAGACGGGCGCTGAGCTTGTCAAGGCGTTTGGCAGACCTCCTGAAGCCGATAGCCCACCAGAATCAACGCTACCAGTCCCGAGACTCGTTTGCTGTCTCGGGTTCGTCTTTTGTTTACCGACATTGGAAGATACCTTATTGTCTGAGCTCACACTGCTGGACGCAGCTGCTACTGGAGGACGCTGTGCGGACCGTGCGCGGTGCAAACTCATTAAGGCCTTAACGTCTTCATCTTCTGTACTGACGTTTTCACGAACGCTAGTCAAAGGCGTTTGTGACTTTGCAGACGAGACTCTGGACTTTGCGCTTGACCCACGGACTGAAGGCGTCTTTGGTTCTTCCTTGCTATCGTCTGGAGAACTCAATCCAGCAAAATCTCCAAGCGAAATGATACTCGCACGTCGCTCTCGTGATCGTGGTCTGTCTGGAACATTGTCGGCGTCCGGAACATTCTGAGGTAGGCTAGAGCTGCTTGAGGTTCTGGGCCGCATACTGGTCAGCGCCTTGCTCGCTATGAACATCGAATGAAATGGAATCTTCGGTGATGGTAACGAGATGGGGGTGTTCTCCTCTTCCTCACTATCGTCCATGTCGCTTCCACTTGATAACTCCTCGTCTTCTTCTGCCTCTGAAACAGAATCCTCCTCCTCTGATGAAGACTCGTCATCGTCGATAGCCTTGATCTGCTTGAGCGAACGTAACATTCTTTTCCCTTCATCGCTTGGGTCTTGTTTGTTACGTCGTAGTGCACTCACGCGTTGTACTAATCTTCGAAGAAAAGTGATATACTCGTCCACATCGATCGTCTCACACCAGAGATCGGCGAGTTCGAAGACGCTGTCGAAGAAAGTGGCGAAGCTCATGACCGACTCGCCTTTGCTGTCTCGACTCCAGTCTTCTGTGATGGTTCTCTCCATACGTCGAAGACGCTTCTTACTTGCATCAGGCTCCAAGCTTCGACCGATACGTCGGAACAAGGATGCGTACCCTTTTTTGTCAATACAACCCATTTCGTCTCGAGGAAGCTGGACAGACCAAAGCTGCTTGACGGCGTCGACTACGTCTGGATGATTGCGTAGACTGAAGCGTAGTGCTAGTGCTTCTGGCGTGTAGTTGAGCAGTTCTTGCGCCTCCTGTTCATTGCGAGCTCGACTGTACAAGTCCTCGGTGAGAACCACTGGACCGTCTTCCCAATTTTTGAGCAGCCCTCGAGCCTTGAGTAAAGCTTCTTCTTGTAAGTGCTGATACTTTTGCCGCTTGAGAGACTGCAGACGAGCTGTTTTGATGGTGAAGTTGAGTTTGAGCCATAAAACACTCGAGGATCTGTGCTGACGGTCGACTGGAGGTTCCGTCAAAGATGGAGCTTTGACTCGACGACCCGCAGACTTCTTGGAGCGCTTTCTATCCATCCTCAAGCTTTATTAACAGCGATATATTGCTATAAATATTAGAGACAATACACTGGAATTATTTTGGAGCCTTTCTTCGGATTTAGAGTTTTAGAGGTGGATCATGCAGATGTGGTCTTTACTGGACAAAGGAGAAGGCACTGAGGCTGCCACTGTCCAGCCTCGCGTTCGACGAGGTGATTAAAGCTTCCTTTGGAGCTCCATAGACCCAAGAATTTCTAATCTCCTTGGGGTTGGAAGTCGGTGTGAGTTGCTGAAAGGGCATGAGGTTTTCATCCTCCTTGTCAGACTTCGTGGCACTGTTTCGGCGTCTCCACGACGCCTGGACAGCTAGCGACACCTTCGGACTCATGACCTGCGACGGTTTGGGGCTCTGCACTAGCAGCGCTGTAATCTTGGACATGACGGGCTCCGGTTTGAACACCTTGTTCACTGCCAGCTTACCGGGCGACATCTTTGGCGGCTGCTTGATCGGCGACGTCTGAGCCCGCTTGGGGCTCTTCTTGGGCTTGCCACCGAGCTGAATGTGCCGTACGTGAGGCTTCGTTGGGCTCTCCTTTGGAATGAGTGCTGGGTCCGTACCGTTCGAACGGACCAGAGACAGAAGCTTGCGTGAGCCTTCACGGATCACCTGCTTGTAGGTGCCTGTACGGTGGACTTCGAGTTGCTGCATGAGCGTAGGATTGGCTGCAAAAGCCGGGATATATCGACCAGAGAATGGCTTGATCTCCACGAGCATCTGCATCAGAATGATCGCCTTGGCGCGAATCTGCCACGAGCGCCGAGCGACGTCGTCTTGCAGCCGCGTAGAGAACGCAGTGGCCACGTTAGCAGCGTCGAGACGAGGGATCTGTGCAAATAGCCGCTGGACGCTTTCAGTATCTGGGATGCCGTGGATGCCACCGGGTGGCGTGCAAACGGCAATCAACTTGGCCTCGTAGCCGCAGAGATTCACCGCAGCTTGGCCACAATCAATGCTGCAATCAAACCCAAGATATCCCAGTTAGAGATCAGCGCAAAGGGGGGACACTTTAATAGCGACGCACTTTTCGATCTCTGCATCGGGTGTTAGACCCACCCACGACTTGCGAACCGTCTTGGGGATGGGACTGCTAGCGCAGCTTTCGTCCGGGTCATCGCGGGAGTTCACCTCCTCTTCGTTGTCAAGCAGCGCGCACCTCTTGTCCGGGGCAAAGTCCTGGTAGTCCCAGTCCTCACTACAAGTGCAGAGACATTTAGTCTGCGTGTCCCTACTAGACTTGGCAACCAGCAGTCAAAACTCACATGGCTTGCTCGACCTGGTGCAGGTACTTTTCCTTGAGTTCGTCCAAGAAGTGCATGGCCTCCTCCATTGTTGCTGGTAACTAGTGTTGCTGAACTTTGTCTTGAAGCTGGTAGAATTCGAAATGACGTGCCGCCCTCATGGAAGGAGCAAAAGCTATCGACGTTTCGCCCAGTTTGCGATGCCTTCCACTGACAAACTCGACGACCTCAGATAAGATCACCAAGCAGTCTGATTATTTTGGCTCACCTTGCAAATCCGATATGGCTTCAGAAAATCCCAAAAATGGAAGTAGAATGGCTACATTAAAACTACCTACGGGCTAATAAGGAGAGCGCTCTATCCTGCTAACGCTAAGCCCCTCGCGACTGCAATCTGTCTGCTGACCTGTTGGCTCTAAGCTCGATTTCCCCCCACCACCAGTCCGTCTGATGTCCCTCATCGTGGTCCATTTCTTTACTTCAGGGCATCGAGCTTGAGGTAGTCGTTATCAAAGTGGTGGAGTCGCACGTAGCCATCTTCCGCTCCAGACGCGTAGCTCTTGCCATTAGGGTGGAAGGCGATGGTGTTAATGGGGCCGAAGTGGCCCTTCACACGGCCGAACTCCTCCTGGAAGACCATGTGGAAGAACCGGGCCTCGAATTTCCCCACTCGGCCAGATGTGGTAGTCACACTCATGGCCTCCTGACCACCGCCCAGCACCACGTGCTCCTTAATAGGCGAGATGGCGGCCGAGTTAACGGGGCGGTCTGTCTCGTACACCTTGAGCACCTTAAGCGTCTCGACGTCCAGCAACTTGGCCGTGTTGTCCTTGGACGACGTGATGGCCAGCGTCTTACTCTTATTAAAGGCCACATTAGTGATCTCACCCGTGTGGATGACGTAGCTCTCAAGCAACTGGCCCGTCTTGGGGTCGAACAGTTTAATGGTACCGTCGCCGCCCGTGGTCATGATGGCCTTGTTCAGGGGCATCCAGTAGGCTCCAGTGATGCGGCCCTCGTGGCCATGGTTAGTGATGGTCAGTACGGGCTCGGCGCTCTGGTTGGCCACATCGTCGGCCAGTTCATAGACGTACACAGCTGCCGGTCGGTCCGAGAACTTGTCGGCCACAGACACAAAGTACTTGTCGCCCGTACTGAAGTTGACACTGCGGGCCGGGCCAGTGTGAGGGAAGGAGAAGAGCTCTTCGCCGCTCTGAACGTCCCAGAGCTTGACGGTGGCGTCGGCCGCGGCGGTGAGCAGACGCTCCGAGTGGTAGCTCACGTCGCAGGCCCACACGGCACCTGAGTGACCCACGTACGTGCCAATACGCTCGCCCGTGTCGCTGTACCAGAGGTTGGGCGTGTGGTCTTTGGCGCACGAGAAGAGCAGGTCACCCTCGCGGTTGTACTTGATCATGGTCAGCGACCGCGAGTGGCCCTTGAGCAGGATCGGGCGCATGGCGAAGGGGAGGAGAAGGAAGAGAAGCCTGCCTGGACACTTGCTTATGGAGAGGCTTGTGGCCACCAGTGGCACATAACCTAGGATGTTTCATACATGCATTAAGGAAGGTTTGAGCAGTGCTGAGCAAATTGCAGTTTAGTCTGGACTATTTTGTCGATAGCCGCACATTTAGAGACGCTAAGATGCTGGTGCTGCGTCGTAGCTTGCTAACGCTGCAGCGCTCCTCGCGGTTGTTCTCCAGCGCTTCAGAGTCGCTGTCACTCTCGCACCTGTCGCATCAGAGCTGTGTGCAGCTCCAGGCGGGTGATGCAGCGCGTACAGACGTGGAGATTGTGCCGGTTTTAAGTGCCAACGACTTTGCTCTGCGTGTCACCACAGCTTCCGACAGCGGTTTGGACATCCACAGCCTGTTTGATGTGCAAGAGGACACTATTGAGGGCGCAGTTGGCGGCGCTGAGAGCGTTAAGGCGTTGCGTATCTCTAAAAAGGGCGTTGTGGACGCTAAACTGCAGCTCTTGCTGCCACACACAGTCGATCTGAACTTGGCGGTGGCTAACGGTAGCGTCACCCTTAAAGACAAAATCGAAGGGGATGTCAAGGTGGTTGTGGGTCGTGGAGACATTGAGGTTAGCAAGGTGCGAGGTACCAACGTGAGCTTGAAGACCAACGGAGGGAAAATCGACGTGCTGGCGCTGGTGGAAGGCGAGACGGTGCGACTGGAGACCAATGAGAGTATCAAATGTAAGAGACTTATGGCAGGAAAAGCCGAGGTGAAGCTGGGCAAGGGAGAGGCCTCGGACTCGGAGTTTGGCGCCATCTATGCGTCGACATGCAACGTCGTGTCAACGAACCAGTCAGGCCAGTCCAAGCTACGTGTTGGCAACGTACATGGCTACCTTCGAGTGTCCAGTGACGGACTCAAGAGTGTGGAGGTGGACAGTGTGACTGGCGCTTTGGAGGTGGAGGACAGCGGTGACAAGTGCGACGTCACAGCGCACTTTGACTCGTGGACTAACGACGCCTCCAGCAGTATCCTTGTGCCTGGAGACGTGCGTGTTTCACTCCAACCGGCAGCATCGATCGATGTGGAACTCCACGGCACGAAAGTCACGGTCGGAAGAGACTGTGAATTCGTCACTAGCGAGATGGACCAGCTGGATGAGGACTACGCGGTCTTCACTGGCGAGCTCCGGGCCCAAGACGGAGCTCTTGCAGCGGCATCGAGCTCTTCGGGTAAGATCAACGTGGACAGCGCCAAGGGCGATGCGATGCGCACCTCTTTCTTTATGAAAGAGAATGCGAAGGATGACGAGGAGGCCAAGACGCCGAGACTGTTTGTCCACGCGCTCAGAGGTGAGGTGACGCTGGATCAGCTCAACTGGATGGACAACATCAAGCGCAAACACCTCCAGAGATAGAGAAAAATAACCAAATGAATTGACGTTGCCCGCTTATTCGACGCGTTTCGTCAAGGTCTTGACAGCGCGATGCTGTACCCGTCCATCCACCAGATAGCTTAGGTCAAATTCGTCGCAGGAATTTGCATATTGAGCATGAACGATCAGGATGTCTTCAAACTGCTTCACTTGATAAATTGGGTCGATTAAATGTCCGTGGGGAGCAAAATTCACGACCACCATGTGGTCAACTTGAAACTGTTGCCTGTACTGATCAGCTTGTCGAGCTGCAGCAGTGATCTCCTTTTCACGTAATTGATTTGACTTGATCTCGTACGCGAGTCTGATGCCGTTAATGAGGAGAATTTCGGCCCTTGTTCGGCTGTCCGGAGTTTTTACTTCAGCGTAGAAGCCTCTACAGTAGTTAGCGATGCCTTCTGCATGATGTCGCGTATCGTTGCGAATAGCTCCAAGTGGAAAACCGACTCGCTCAGAGGCTGTCGATTGCTCACAAACTGGTGGGAGATGCGTTGCGGATTGAAAAATCGAAGCGCAACGCATAACAGCTCCAGCGAATCATCTGTGGATGCAACTTGGTAGATTTCTCGCACCGGAAGTGCTTCCACACAAATTCGATGCATCATCTCCGATACCAAGGCCAATGCACCATCGCTTCCTTCGATCAGAACCCCCATGCGAAGTAATGGATCAACGAGTTGGCTATCTTGGTCACCTCGAACAGAAATGCCACAATTCCCCTCGACCTGGCTCGCCGTCATACGTTCTCCATCGTGCGCAAGAACGTACTTAACCGCCTCCCATTCCACATCATTCAAGTGATGCAGATTATCTTGAATGCGGCAGTAGGTATTGTTATATGCTGTCAAATAACTTGAAAACGCATCCACTTTGAACCACCGCTCCCACTCGTGCCGCTCCACTGTACATTTGTCGCTGTCCGCCGTGAATCGAATCATCGACCCAAAGACGCCAGGAGCACCACTTGAATAATCTATAATTGCGCGTCGAAGCGACTCTGAAAAAGGATAACGTGAAGCAACGAGTGTAAAGAATGCGCTCATTTGCTCGAGTGAGAAGGGTCCCACCTTGATCATGGTACCGACGTTGAAAGGACTCGACTTCATGTCCCCGCGAAAAACCTTGAAGTGATGCACCAAATCGTGACTGCCAACTCCAAAAAACCCACAGAAGAAAGACGCTACCTTCCAGGTACGAAGAGCTGCAAGAAACGTTGTCGCCAGGTCTTTGTTGTCAAAGAGATGGTCCATTTCATCCAAGATGAGGCAAAAGCGACGCTGACCACGAGTTGCCAGCTTGATGAACGCGGTCTCGTCTTGGCACACACTCTCAGGTTTCATGTGCATGCCCAAACAAGTCCAGAAAGTGGCAGCGTCTCGGACAGCAGACCTGCGCAGCTCGACCAGGATGCATTCGACATTGGCCAAATGCGGATCCGCAGCCATCCAGTCCGCAATGCGGTACGCAATGGTGGATTTCCCAAACTGACGTGGGCCATACAGCAGATATAGTGGGCGGCCGCGACTTCCCTCCATCGAAAACCCGGTTTGAATGTCGTTGAACGCGGCAATGGTTTCCATGGGAACCGAGACTTCGTCTAGATGCAGCGGTCCTGCATACGCGATACGCAAATTGACCCTTCGCTTGTTTGCCGGAACCAACGCGGGAAACGGGTCAAATGCTCCTCGTCGTTCGGTAGGAGCCACCACCAGCACATTCACAGGGCCATTTCCTGCTGCTTCGCCTTCTTCATCCACTTCGACCATGTCCTCATCAGACAAACCAACGCGCCAGAGCTTCGCTCGCCCGGCATCCAGATGTGTCAGACCACTGGTGTCACGTCACACCATTGACCTCATTTCAGTCAGCCATGTGGCG